GATTTCATTGCCGTGGTTGGGCTTTTGATATAGATAGCATTCTTACACTTGTAGACCCATTCTTTCATACTTCGAAGCCGTTTTAGTATTGGTAAGGAAAATCTCTCTACCCTTAGGTAGATCGTTTCAACATGGCAACATGTCAAAGCAATATTTGATGTAGTCCGTAAGATTGTCACATTCGAGCTACAGGTCTTCGTCATTGAAGGTCGCAAAATCAGTTAAAGTAAACATCGTCTAGAGCCTCGTGATATTTTCCAGGGAGCCGTTTGATAACATTGTAAGACCGTCTGGTCTGCTATAGATGACTGGACGCAGTTTTAATATGCAATGGTCTGAGCTGCTCAAAGAAGCCCGCTTTTGTATGGCAAATAACTGTCGTTTATTTATGAACACAGCGTCCATCTGAATTTCTTTTCTGGTCGCAGCAGTCACTAGGTCTACCAAGCCAAGTGTCCTTAAGAATGTTGTATCCTTTCTATTGAAGTCGCCAGCAACAATACAGATAGAACAATCTAATTTAAGCTTTAGCGTTGAAGAAAGTTTGTCTTCGAAAAGCTTTAACTCTGATGCAGATGTTTCAGGAACAATGTATACATTTCCAACGATGACTGATCGAAAGCCACTTAAAAACTTCGGTTTGCACTCAGCTAAATGACAGCTTATAGAAATTGTTGAGTACGTACATATTATGATTGTTGCGTCGCACTAACGTTGATTAACATAAGTTATAACGCCACCACCACGAAATTGGGACTTCCCGGGACGGTTAGATCTGATGGGAAAATAACCATCGAGTTGAATTACCCCATTTTCCACATCAGCATGCAACCAGCTTTCTTGTGACAGAATGATTCCTGTATTGACATTCTTATTTCGCTGCATAATGGCACTGATTTTACCAAGGAGCGAGCGAACATTACTGGAAAGTATCAGTGGGACTTGCGGTTTGTCGACAGAACAACGACTGAGGCCCGATTGCCAGCCAGCACGATGCTTGCGCTTTTTTCCACGACATTTATTCGTAATACGTTTGCAGTTGTTCCTGACTTTATGGCCGTATTCGATAAGGCACGGATTTAAGGCAGTAACACGTAACGTTTTCAAATAGTTGGCGGAGTAGGACAACATTGATTTTGAGATCTGATCAGAAAAAACAAATCGCTTCAAAAATAAGATATAGAATCCGCAGTCTGTAGTGTAAACTAATCCATCGAGAACAGTAACGGCTGAATTTGAAGGCCCCGCGAAATAATGATTATGCGCTCACAGCGTTCCTGAATGTGCTCATGGAAGCTAACTGTAAGCTCGACACAAACGAGTGCGTGTTCAGAATTTCCGCTCGTGCTCCAAATCGGGCAAGAGGTTTTGAACCCATGACCACTCGCGGCCAGTCAGCAAATTATGCTCATCTGGCCACGGGAAACAGCAGCGGACCGTTATGAGTTACAAGCTAACTGCGATATATGACCCGTCTTCTCCTCCACTGCCATGTAAGTTACGAACGTTGAAAAGAACAGGGTTGGCTCCAAAAGGCACGACATCTACTGACAATAACTATATATGACATAAGTACTGGAACGTTAAGAATTCCGTGAGTGTCCCTTCTTGAGCGGATAGTTGAGCGACGAGTTGATAGTGTTTCGAGGTTGGACCTACACCGTCCTCGGTCGCTTAGTAATAGCCGCGTCCCTTTCTGTTGTATCTGTTGAACTCTGTCGACGTAGGTCATCTGGTTTGCTTTTAGGCTTGCCGCTTGCTCACTTCCTAGCTTCTTCTTTGTCGGTTTATGCTACACATGCGTGTTCTACGTGTAACTTGCTGCATTTCAACTAAGATCTTCCCTAGTTACTGCTACCGTTTGTTGCATTTCAGCTTTATGAAAGGGGCTCGTTGTTGCCTATATACGCTTTCTTGCAAGTGTAGTCACGAACTCAGTAACACCTCCAACCTTCCTTGCCTATCATCATATTTATTTCTTTATGATATCTTCTCACTCTGTCAATACTCCACAACTGTTCCTTATCATCATTATTCTTAAGATCGCTTGACTATGGCAACCGAGTCAGCTGCACTTTGGTGCTCCTTTCTTATTTAATTACTTTGGCTGTACTAAACCGCTACCACAATGGACACTGTACTCTTCCGGTCTTCCAGATTAACTTGCTCTCCAATCTAATATTACTTTTGCTTATCTCTTTATATTAGGATTGCAGATCGCGCTGATCAACACGTGTTATAATTTGATATCATCGTTTCCTTTTCCAGCTGAAGCATCTGCTTGTGGCATTATCAATCGTCACCACACCAATCATTGGATATCCGAGAGGTCGATGAACCTGTTGAATCCCGAAGAAACCCGGCTGGCTTTGAGCACAATGTGACCAAACAGACTACTAAGCGCGAAGTAAAACAGAGCCTTTATTCTGACAAGGAAGCCTGGTGGGACCAGTCGGGCTCAAAAAATGGGTGAGGCATGAGCAGTAGGCAATTACCGCCAGCTCTTCCAGCTGATCCGCACCACTGGTCCCAGGAGACCAGGCGTTAGTAAGACAATCAGAGACAGCGCGGGTGCACTGATACAATAAGGAGTGCCGGATGACTCGTTGGGCGGAACACTTTCAAGGTCAGTTCAACTGGCGTCATGCTCACCGACCTCTTCCTACTCAGTTGATACAGGATGAGCCTTGAATGTTTAGTTTACAGCCTCCGTCAGAGGCCGAGGTCGGAAACGTGATCACAGCCCTCTATCCATTTTATGCTGTTTGCCCAGATTCCCTCCCACCTGCACCATTTAAGAATGGAGGTGAAGTTTTCTGCAAAGCACTAACCTCCCTATTCGAACATATGTGGAAGCGTGTCCTGGCTAACTGGAGTGAATCGATTATAGTCGCAGTATACAAGAAGCGCTGTCGCACAGACCGTGCTAATCACAGGGGTATTAGCCTAACACCAATTGTGACCAAATTACTGGCGTCGATTCTTGTTCGTCGCCCCAATGTGGAACGGGAATCTCGGATTAGGTAAGAGCAAGCAGGTTTCCGCCCGGGACGTGGCTGTATAGACCATATATTCACTTTGCGGCAGATGCTAAAGATGCACCACGCATACTGCAGACCCATAATCGCTGTATTCCTCGACTTCAAGAGTGCGTTCGATTCGAATTACTTGCGCGGAAGTGTGTTCTCACGAAATATGTGAACATCCTACGTGCTCTATATTCTAACACGGTAAGGCGCGTCAGGGTCTAAGGTGACCTGTCAGCTATGTTCCCTGCAACAAGTTGCGTTCGTCAGGGTTGTCCGACTTCCCCGTTTTTGTTCAATTTCATCGTGAACTCCATCGTGGAGTGTTACGTAACGGAAACCCACAATGTAGGCGTTGAGTTCCTGGCTGGTAAAATGTTAACTGATCTTGATTATGCGGACTATATCGTCTTCTTTTCATCCATTTTGGGGCAACGCAATCACCCCAGAATGGGCTGTCTAGTGTGGTCACATTATTTGGCCTCTGTTTCGCACCTTCGAAGTGCAAAGTGTTGCTGGAGGACCACCAGCCACTTGATGATCCTTTGACCCTTGCTAACGAGGAACTCGAGGTGGTTGATCGAATCACTTACCTTGACAGCTGTATCAGCAAACATGCGCACATAGAAACTGAAGTCATTTCACGTATTGCAAAATCCATAACTTCTTTCTTAAACCTGCGGCATCTTTGGCGACAGAAGGGAGTTTCCGTCCGTCTGATAGGCTGTGTATACAAGGCCACAGTGAGAGCCGTTCTTGTCTACGGGAGCGAGGCTTAGCCCCTTCGATCTGGGAACCTGTGGTGCCTTCAAGTCTGTGATCATCGTTGTCTGCGAAGCATTGCTGGTATCGGCTGGCACCCAGCGTGTCAGCAACGATGATATGCGTAGGCGAATACTTGGTAGTGAGTCATGCTAGTTCCTTTGAACAACGGATAATTGAATAATTTGCGTTGGCTTGAGCACTTGCTACGTATGCCTGGTCACCGCTTACCTAGGAGGACGTTGTTTAATCCGCCAGATGTAGTGTGGCGCAGAACTCGAGGTGGACAAAAGTTGACTTGGCAGCGTGAAACGAATTCACTGTCGACCAAACTGGGTGCTGTTAGTCCGTTTCGCCTTCCGGGCTGGAGTCCACGTGACTCACCTTATGCTTGGCTCGAGACTTTATTGGACTTGGATCGTAACCGACACCAATGGCGCGTCTGCTGCCGTCTCTTAATCGGATTTTCCGTTTTAACTGTGTTTGGTGTTGATTTATCTGCGGTGTAATGGCTGATTATGACGCGGGGCAATGAAAGCCGCAAAGAAGCTGTCTCGTCGATGCCGTTTTATCTTTGCACGATAGTCAGCTGTTTGTGACGGTGTGTTGGTAACACATAGGCGCCTTAACCCTGAATGTTTGTTTAGGGTATTACGTTTTTCAGATAAGTCCCTCTTCTCTCCCTCTTATTATTCTTTATTCTTTGATTTTTATTTATTAACTTATTATTGAATTATTAATTTTATTATTTCTTCCTTAGGTCATCATGGTTATATGGCAGCGAAGTATCAGTTCAATGGACTTACGTACTGTTGGTGTTGTTGTTTTTGTGTTTGTTGTTATTGTTGTTTCCAGCCGCAAACAGTTGTATGTTCAGGATGGACGATCACCAACTGTATACATCAAGGGCTTTTTTCGACGGTGTTTTTAATTGGTGTATTATATTACGTTTTGTCTGTTTACTACTGTTTCTCCATATTTACTTTACTCAGATGGATCTGCCTGCTTGCTCACCATCTTTCGTTCACTGTGCTGCAGCGGTGTTTGTGCGCGTTTTCCAGCATTTACCTCTGTTTATTCCTCTTTTCTCTTTACTTCTTTTAGTTGGTTATGATTTCGCGAAAACGTTGCTTGCGCCTTCGCTTCCCCTGTGTTTCATCGGACTCAGATGAGGAAAAGTCAGATGATCCTGTCCCGTCGGGTCCTGTTCAGGATGGTGACAATGCTGTTGACGCTATCCGAACTCTCCAGAAGGTCCGGAAAAGACCTGCGGGTATTAGTTTATCCGCACTTTCTACCGGTAAAGCTGCTCCCGAGGAAATCGCTATCGTGAGCGACCCATTTAAATTGAAGTCGGGTGGTTTAGTTGAGATGCATTGTGTTACTGGTACGAGGAGAGCGGAAGACGAGGACGATGTTGAAGCTCGCCTTGCAAAAACTTTTGCCACGGAAACGAATAAACGTGACGAGGATGCCGAAATGTGAGACTGACTTTGACGTCTTGTTTTAACTCCTGTAGGATAAAGTACATTGAAGAACAGGTGTCAAAACGCAAAGGCTTGCAGAAATCGCCCTCTCCCGAACCGTGAGTTTTTCTCTGTTTGTCACTTTCGTTCAACCTCAACTGCCACTGGATAACTTGTTTTTCTGTTTACGCTAAAATATTTTACCCGGTTGGCGATTGTAGTAGGCCACGTAGGAATTTTTCTTAGTTAAGGTCCATAGACCTTGTTTATTTTCATTTGACCACCTAGTGAATGCAGACCTTCATGCTGCTCCGTGTCCATGTACTGGGTTTTTTTGTTAGCGCTCAGTCATTCACTGAATTTATTAGATCCTTCTCACGCTATTCAGCACTAGCAAAGATGCACTAGTTATTCCCGTATTCTACAGTGTGTTATATTCGGTTATGTCCGGGAAAATGCTCTAAGCCAATAATGTGCAGCCGAAGCAGGAATCGTTTCGGGAATATTCAGATTTATCGTATGGCGTGTATACCGGCCTTCTCTTTGGTTTAGCGGAACTGATAGCCAACCTAACCATTATCGGAGGCTAACATTTCTGGGTTGATTTTCACAATACTTGTTATCTCTTTCGATAGTTTGTTTTTTAGTGCGCTCTCGTGTCAGCTGTTGATGCCTGATTTTTCAGGGATTGTAAGCTAGCAACGAACGAGGCTCCTTCATCTGGAATCGTTAAGTCTAACGCGCAGTCACGCCCAACGATCGCTTATATGATCATATATATATATATATATATATATATATATATATATATATATATATATATATATTTATATATATTTATATATATATATGTATACGAATCGTTCCATTACCTCAAAGGCTGCGTGTGACAGCTGTCAAGCAGATCCCAATCTGTCTCTGCAATCACATTCCCCAGCTGGATGTGCTCACCACTCTCTTGTGGGTCAGGCTATTGAGCCAAACGCGCCGGGTGGAGTCTCTCAAGCAAACCTTCGAATCACAACTGCCACAACCACGCGTGCGATTGCCCACCAATGCAATCGTATGCCTGCGCGCAAAGCACAGCATCGGGCGCTGGAACCTGCGCACAATACTGAACCGGAACTCCAGGGAGCGCCCCGAGCGACGCACTGCACTCTTCATGACGGAACTGGCGCGGTACAAAGTCGATATTGTGGCGCTCAGTGAGTTGCATGAAGCAGATGCTGGTTACACATTCTGCTAGGCGGGCAACGCCGCCTCAGCACCACGTGAACGTGGAGTCGGATTTGCAATATCCGGTTGCCTACATGGTCAGCTGGTATGTGACCCAACAGGCATCAGCGCGCGACTGATGACTGTTCGCCTGCGACACGTGAGAGGTAAGTTTACCACTTTTATAAGCAACCTGTGTTATCTTGATGACACGCGTGACCAATCCTACACTCAGTTATCTTTCTTGATACGGTCTGTGCCGAGGAGTGACCGACTATTTCTTTTAGGTGATTTCAACGCGCGCTGGGCCTGATGCATCGGTGTAGACAGATGTCATCGGTCCGCTTGGTATTGATTCAGCGAATGCGAACGGTGACAGGCTGCTCTCACTATGTGCCACTCACAACCTAACGATCACGAATACTCGGTTTGCATTGAGTGCGAGTGTTCTAGCAACTTGGACGCACCCACGGAGTGGGCACGCTCACCTGTTCGACTATGTCATCGTACGTCAGCGTGATATGCGTGAAGTGCGCATGATACGTGTACTGCGTGGAGCTGTGTGGCACTGATCACAAATCGGTGCGGACTAAACTGTACATATATTTTCGTAGATCTATGTATTGCACTCCCGTCGTAACTCGGCCTAAATTTAGCGTTCTGTCCGTCGGTAGTGTGGCGAAACGTATTGAGCTGGAGAAAGCGATGGCTGCAGCTTCGGCATTCAGGTTGCTTGAGTACCGGGTGTGGAACAACCATCAGCTTACCGTTGGCACAAAGCTGATGGTGTACAAATCCATAGTGATGTCTGTTCTTCTATACCGTAACGAAGCGTGAACGATTTACCGGCAAGATGTGAGATATCTCGAGCGGTTCCATCAACGGTGTTTGAACGGATTCTGCGCATCCGTTGGTGTGACAGAGTTGCCGAAGCTTCCTTCGAAACGCGCATACGAAGCTCACTGTGAAGCTGCTGCTCAGTCGACATCACACTCCCAAGGTAGCAGAAGCGGGAGGTGGTTTCCAATAGTTCAGCACCAATGCTGATTCGCAGCAATATTGAAGATTGCACCTCCGGTGAAGGCTGAAAGAGACAGACAGTTTTGCTTGTGTTGATGGTGAGTCCGAATTTGGCCGCTGTCGAAGCCAGAGCACTAGTCATGTGCTGCAACTCATCCGCGCTGTGTGAAAACAACGCACAGTCGTCAGCAAACAGCAACATACGGATAGTTGTCTCACAGGCTAGGGTTCTCGCACCGAAACGACGGATTTTCAACAACCCACTATCAATACGGTGCTCCACACGAACACCGTAAGCGCAAGAGGCATCAGGAGCACAAGACATCATTGCATGAAGGTAAATATTACCCAGGACAGGAGCTAGGACGCAATCTTGCTTCACACTAGTGACAACTGCAAAGTTATTCGAGGTCTCTCCACTCAGATGCACCCTCGCCCGCATACCACTGTGCAGACATTCAATTAAACTTACAAGCTTACGTGGGCAACCAAACTTACCCAACACCAGCCACAATGCCTCACGGTTCACCGTATCAAAAGCCTTGGTGAAACCAATAAAAGCGAGTACAACTGAGTTGTGAGCAGAACTGCTCAGCCCAGCGGTCCATGCGTATACGCAAATTCGCGATTGTCGATGCATCAGTCTCACAAATAGTTTTGTTGAGGCATGTTTTCTGTAACCAGTGGTCTGAATGATCTGGGAAAGCTTGCAAACATTCCCACAGAGAGAGGGAGAGAAAGAGAGAGATGGAGGGAGTCGCTGTCTCCATCTCTGAAGCGCACTGAGACCACCAAGTTTTGTGATCGTTACGCAAGCTCTGCTTAAATTGTTTGCTGTGGTTGCGATGGACTTCACCGCTGCTTGAATCAGCTAGAATATCTCAACAACGATCAAGCACTTCCAAAGCGAGCAGCGGTCTAACCTCTCAGACGACCTCACGTGATTCCACAGAATGATTGTCCGAAAGAAATCAACGCCAACTGCAACGGACTTCAGTAATTTTCGACATCTGAAGGTGGAGCACTGGCGAACGCATCTGATTAGAAGAATAGATAAGTCAGTTGAACGGAAGGATTCGCTAACCTGTTGATATCCATCGTACGATGCTTTAGTTTTGAGAAACCATGTCGCATGCAGATGTCCACACAAACCAGAGCGTGTTCTGAGTCCAGGTAAGTTGAGGAAATCGATCTGCAATTCCATACAATACCTCGCTATGTGATTCATTTATGACCGCACTTGCGTTGGTGAAGGGGGACGCCAGGTTGCGGCGCGTCTCCTCGAATACCTGTACTTCGTGCTCAAGAGAGGCGGTTTTCCTCATGTAACGTAATATGTCAATTCCCGTTATCAGAGCGACTTATCAAGGGCACGACGGTCACTAAGCTGACGTTCGAATGGCAGCAGGCGACCGGCTCATGCTTTGAAGCCCCCGGCCAGGACGACATCGGATTTTTCGACTTTACTCAAACACGGATGGAGTCCACGGTAAAATTCTTCCTTAACCGATGTAGTGTTGCAGTCGCTTGGATTGTTGGCGGAGGTATCAAGCAAATTATGTCGCTCTGTTCTATGTCTATTGATCCTATATGAGCCTTGAGATTAACTTCCCACAATGGTCTGCCATTCGGAAACAAATCGAGCAGCGAGTCCACAGCTTTGTCAATCAGTGCGATGCCAGCGCCAGCCATGTCAGCTACAGCTGCTTCTGTGCCACCAGATAAAGCATGGAAATATTTGGCTTAAGATCAACAGGGGACCTCAACTTAACTACGGTGCTGGAGTCCTGTAATCGAGTCTTTGAAAGCCAACAGACATCAATAGCGAGTGACTCCAGGGTGCGCGCCAGACCGGCCTTCCCGATCTTCATAAGGGTTCGAACGTTCAAAGCTCCCAGTCGAAATGGAGTTCGAATTCGAAGGCTGGCCACTGGTCAGAATCTTCTGACATTGCTAAGACTGTCATTGGGATTATATTCAAGGGAATTACCAACGAAGTTAGGATTAGCGTGTGGCGATGGTGCGTGAGCGTTGAAGAGCGCAGTAGCAGTCGAGAAGGACGTAGTAGTATTAGTTGCAGGATCCATGGTTTTGTCAGGGGGCGAGATACTACCATGCTGCCTAAGCCGAGTTAAGGAGTTTTCCTAGGGGATACCATCCCAAACCTTTTGCTAAACAGTAGGGGAGCGAATTCAGGAAATCGCACTGGTTGGGAGCCGATGATCGTTTACTCCGTGTTGGAGCTATCGACGCGTCCCCAGGTTGCGGATTGGGGTATACCTTTCTTGTGGAGGTAACTGCGAATAAGTCTTGTTTTGCTTTGTACGCGAGATTAATAAGCAGTCGCGCACAATCAGCGGCAGCGTCTCAGAGCGTGGGGCTCTGGGCTGGTCACCTTTCTCTTCATCAAATATTACAAGAGCTCGTACGGTGCCGTGTCTAAGCCAGTGAGACCGTTTTTGGAATCACTGATCACTCACTTCTGTAACCAGAAGTGAGTACTTAACGGAGTGCAGATGAGCAAGCTTGCTGGCCACCGGCTTCTCTGTAGACTGCTACCGAACACTAAGACGAATGAGCCACCCGGCTGTCCACGACCTTCGTCAATCGCCCCGCTGCCTTGCGGATCAGGTCTTTAAGACCAAAGGCTCGGGGTTGGGTTCCTTAAGTCAAACCTTTTCCTCGGCCTGGGCAAACGGGAAGATCTCCGCCCACACAACACATAAGCCTTCTAATCTCTCTTCCACTAACCCTGTTTCCCATTTTGTTGTTGTCAACCATGTGTTGTGGCACTGCCAATTGTATATTGGTCAGGTGTTGAATAATAATAATACTCTGTTCATACGTCTTTGGTTTAGTCGGTTACCAAACAGGCTCCCTACATTTTCAGTGTCAGATTGCTGGAATACAATACTCCACCAGAGTGAAGCATGGGGCAGCAGGTCACATCCTCCACGTCGCAGTGTTGTTAAACAGATATATGTGGTTTTTTCTAAGGAGAGCGCTTGCCATGCGAAAACCCAACACGTACTGGAACAATACTGACAAACGATTAACTGCAACGGGATACTTTTGAACCGTCCAGCCGGCACTACGAGGAGGTTGTTCGGCACAGTGAGCTGGTCATGTTTGGACACACCAGCATATAAACACACACGATGCACCATGGTAATCAATCAGCAAGCAGAATGCAGTCGGATATCAACACCAATATATTCAGCGGCTGTCTGACTTTATTCACCGCTGCGTTCGTAGCATTGCTGTCGTACGACGGCGAGACCATTAGTTATGAATATGTTCCCCAGAGAAACTGCCTTCTGCTGGGCTCCATAACTTCCGCGCACGCGATTCTGTGGCTTGGGCACATGATTTACATGTCAGCTCAGTGCTTACCTTGCGCTGCGCTCTTTAGGGATACAGAAGTCAGCTGGGAAGAGAAAAAAGTGACCAACGAATGATGGACTTTTATGGAGGCGCTCACCTCATAATCGGTCATGGTCAGGCGCTCTCAATTTCTTACCTGTGGGGCGTGACGATCACGAACATGCGTGCGTTAAACCCTCTCGGACATCTCATACCTTAAGCACACTCATGAATGTCGTCAGGCAATTGCAATAATGAGATGCATAATCATTGGAATAGGAGCTATTACTAACGATACATGGATTTGAGACCGCATGGATTTGTCGAGTATGCTTCGACCGGAGGAATGGTGGTAATCAATCTTAATTAAAAGCCCATCCCATAAACCATTAAACCTAAAGTCAGCTGACCAGGCTATGGCTACAGAAGAATTAAACTTTGCCCAAGTACACAGTTCCCGCTTTAGTCGCTTGATAGCAATTGCTTCTGCCATGGCCAGTAAGCGCTTTCCAGATCCTTTTGGGCTACTAGCCCGTGGTGTAAAGGATCACAAGCCTGCCTTGTGCAGATTCGAGCCTGCGTAAGTGACCGGGCGACCCTCGCAGTATCCTTAGCCCACGCGCTACTGTTGGTGGTGGAGTGCCAGGGAACTGTCGGTACTGCGTACCGGCGTTATGCTGATGCCTCTTCCGTCTCAACGAGATTGGACCTTAACGTGCTTCGACGGTTTGCGTACCATGTTCACCTATTGAGAGCTACTTTTACCAGATTGCTCAATGGTTATAAGTCAGACGAACTCAGTCTCCTGATTCTCCGGGTTGGGGGGTTGAAATGGTATGGCGTCCATTTCTGTAAAACTGAATCGTTGCCACCACCTTGCGGACAGGTGCTTTAGCCAAAACCTTTGGTTGAGGACCCTAATCTTTCTCCTGTCTAGGTCTGGGCATCCTGTCATTATCTCAGGCCATGCACAATCATGACTATTTCTTCAAAGGTCAACTCTATCCTGCATCGGCCATCGCGCAGATTATCAAGGCCGCCTTATCTGCCATTTACAGCAGGGCAGATAGGCGAAAACATGCTACCGCTGGTGCCTCCCTTCTTTCTTTTTCACCTCTTTCTCTTACTCCCATCCCAATCCATTACTAATCTTCCTTCTATGAATCCCATCTTAATTGGCAGCAGCCGTAATACCACTGGAGTCGAATCATCTGCAGTTATCTTCCTACACCACCCACTGGACACAAACTCTTTCAGTTGGGCTGCACCACTGTACTCAGGAAACCAGGCGTCAGTGTGACAATCAGAGACAGCGCCGGTGCTCTGATTCACAATAAGAAGCGCCGTATGCCTCATTGGACGGAACGCTTTCAAGGGCATTTCGGTTGGCCCCCTTTTTCCAGTCCTCCTCCTGCTCATGTGATGCAGGATGAGTCATCGACTGTTGGCTTGGAGGGTCTATCGGAGGCTGAGGTCCGAAACACGATCACAACTTTTAATCGTCTCCGTGCTGCTGGCCGAAATTCCCTCCCACCTGCACTACTCAAGGATGGAATTGAGGCCCTCTGCAAAGCACTGACTTCTCTGTTCGAACATGTCTGGAAGGAAGATGTCATCCCAGTTAACTTGAGTGAATCCATTATAGTGGTAGTCGCACCGGCTGTGCTAACAACAGGGCTATTACCCTAACGCCAGTGCTGACAAGATTGCACCTCAATTCTTGTTCGTCTTTTTACTGCGGAACGGGAGTCCTGGATTAAGCCAGAGCAAGCAGGCTTCCACCCAGGATGGCGCTGTATAGACCACATATTCACTCTGCTGCAGGTGCTAGAGTAGTGTCGTATGTACCACAGGCCGACAGTAGTTGTGTGTGCGTTCTATTCAGTCGATCGATCCATTCCATTCGAGATACTTGTTTGGAAAAGTGTTCCCATGAAATATGTGAACACTACAGGCCGCATCATGGTCTCCGGTGATTTATCGGAATGTTTCCTATAACAAGTTGCTTTCGTCAGGGTTACCCACTTTGCCCATTTTTATTCAATTTCGTCCTGGACTCCATCATGGATACAGGCGTTGCGGTGCTTCCTAGTGAAAGGTTAGTTGATCTCGATTATGCGGACGATATCGTCTTACTGTTTAACGTTGTTGGGGCGGCACAATCAATCCTGAATAACCTCTCTAGAGTGGTCGCGTCATTTGGCATGCGCTTCGCACCTTCAAAGTGTACATTGTTCCTGCAGGACCACCAGCCACTTGATGACCCCTTGACCCTTTCTAACGAGGAACTCGAAGTAGTTGATCGGTTCACTTATCAGCAACGATGGGAACAAGCGCTGAAGTCAGTTCACGTATTGTAAAAGCGAGAACTCTCTTCTTGTATCTGCGGCATGTTTGGCGTCAGAAACGGGTTTCCCTCGGTCTAAAAGGCCGTGTTTGCAAGGCCACATTGAGGGCCGTCCTAGTCTACGGGAGCAAGGATTAGCCCCTTCGATCTGGGAACCTGAGGTGCCTTCAAGTCTGTGATCATCGTTGTCTGCGAAGCATTGCTGGTATCGGCTGGCACCCAGCGTGTCAGCAACGATGGTGTGCGTAGGCGAATACTTGGTAGTGAGTCATGCTAGTTCCTTTGAACAACGGATAACTGAATAATTTGCGTTGGCTTGAGCACTTGCTACATATGCCTGGTCACCGCTTACTTAGGAGGGCCTTGTATTGTTTGCCAGATGTAGTGTGGCGCAGAACTCGAGGTGGACAAAAGTTGACTTAGCAGTGTGAAATGAAGTCACTGACGATCAAACTCGGTGCAGATTTTCTGTCTCGCTTTTTAGACCGGAGTCCGTGTGACCCGCTTTGTACTTGGGTCGTTACGGGACATGGCTCGCAGTCATCACCAGTGGCGCATTTGCTGTCGTCTAATCAGACTGCCTGTTTACAGTGTGTTTGGTGCTGAGTAATCTGCGGGGTAATGGCTGATTATGATACGGGCAATGAAAACCGCAAAGAAGCGGATACAGAAGTGCCACAATCCTCCTTGGTGGTGATGTCGCCCCTCTGCCTGATAAGTAATCTTGCTCATTCCTTAAAGATGCACGAACCTGATGAATACTCGAGCCTCTTCGTTGGTTATCTAAACGGCCAAAAAAATTCGACCCTAATATTTAAGGAACAAGAGTCGGATGACTGGAACTCTGTTGCGACTAGGACTACCCACAATTCCACTCGACAGTCAGCCAGCGGAGAATCGATGTGACAAAGCATGAGCTAACTTCAACCTGACAGGGCAGTAGTGAATTGGACCGTTCACAGCTAATAAATAGCGTCTGTGGGTCATAAAAACAGAAAGCCTTCGTGAGGTGCGAAAACTGGTGTGTGGCCAGTGAGTAACTTTCACTCTAATAACGATTCCACATTTGTACAGTGCAATTTACTTTACGCCACATGATTTACAGGTTTGTGATCGATACACAGACTTGATCTTGGGTTTTGGAGGTCTACTCGACGCCGCCGTCAGTCCTGTGTATGTGGCTTTCAGCTTCAACCTTCGCTTCATCGGTTTACATTCTGTTTGAATTTTGGTTTCACGTTCACTTTTCAGCCACTTGCCGAATGGATGCCAACTGTCTTGCTCTACGTCCTTTCGCGTACTCGCCTGCTGTCTTTTCATTACGTGCTAAATTCGAGTTTGCGCGTACTTCGCGCATTGAACCTGAGATTGTTGGCATTTTTATTGTATTCATTCACGCGCTAACAATCGAACTTTTAACCCGTTCATTATCACTACTTTTGGTATGGAGCCGTAATACTTGAGATTGCTTCTTTTCGCCCGTCCTGTCCATTTCCGTAGAGTCGAGGAGTCAGATCTCCTGCGCAACGTCCCAGAGTATTTGCGACCGGTTATTGGACAGCAGAGGGAAGATATGATGTCTAACCAAATGCTTTGTGGCATACCGGAAGTCGATCTAGGCGTCGAGGCAAAAATGAGAAATATCGAGGCTACAGAAGAAGCTAAACAGTCATTACTCAAACAACGATTTAGTCGTCAATGTGGACGGCCATCCGGTGGACTCGCGCTAACTAATGTGGCTGTAAACTTCGTGCAACACAGTAGATGGAGTGAGTTACCAATCTACTCTGTCTGAACCTTTATGTAACTTGAACAAGCTACTTTTTGATCCTTGTTTATTAATGTGCTTTCGCTTTACCATCCTAATTGTAACAACTCGCCTAGTCGGAACGAATGATACGACTTTGTCGGAACTGTTTTCGACTCACGTGACTTGAACTGTCACCACTGACACATCATACCCGATATAGAGAAGACAGTCCTTCAGGAGAGTGCTTTTATGTCCCTGAAAAGGACGGATCAAGATTGAACGGCTTTCAAAACCGCGACTCGCTATGTTTGTGAATCTTCACATTGAATAATCTGTCTAGTCGGACTTGAGGAAGTGTGTTGTAGCGGACCATATGGGTCTATATGAGTTCGCCATACACGCGCCTGTGCAATAAGTGATGGGATCACGAACCATTTAGCATAACCTCTAGGGTGTTTTACCAATCTTCTCCACGTATGACGCCGGCGCGAACCCAACTTTTCTGGAGGGCAAAGTATACTATGCAGTTGCCCGTTCAACCCTGATATACGGTTATGGAACTTGGCCTACCAACGAGACAGACCTAGATAGGCTAGTTACGTTTGATCGCCAATGCCTTCGCAGTGTAGCTCAAGTCTGGCGGGAACAGCACATGAGCAAAGAATGTTTTGCGTCTTGTTTATGGAACAAGACGAGGAAGTGAACCGCTCGACACTGATATTTTACACACCAGGCTCCGATAGTTGGGCCATATGTTACTCGTAGCAGCACACGGACTCCCGCGACGGGCGCTGTTTTACGCAACCAGACTTGGAATGTAAAAAGACGGGAGAACGCCTATGATTTGGTCAATAAGAATAGAGGTTTTGACTTTGAAGTTAGCTTTGGTTTGTGTCCGAAAGAGGAACACGTTTGAGTAGAGACGCTTGTTGACATGGTGAAGCACCGACTTCAGTAGCTTTCGTGTTGCGTTTCTTTACTCTGCTGCATTCTGCGTAGCCTCCCTTTCCAACCGCGATCTTGTCGCGACTGCGTAATATAAAACAAAGCGCAGCTATTTTTTATTTTGTTCAGCTTTTGTTGTTTCTCCTCTTTCGTTTCTACCTTATTTGATTGTGTTGCAGTACAATAGCTGGAGTGTTTCTTACACCTAGCTTATGTGTAAAATAGAAATTCTGAAGATGGTGCGACTACAAATAGTCATTAAGATCTGTCTGCGGCCGACCACACGCAGCGTTTAGAGATTGAGATCAATGTATTTACGCTTGTCGACCATAACATATTACGAACCTGCGACTACTACTAGCTTCAGGTGGTACTCGCATCGCGACATGGCCGGACCTTAACATGATGCGACAGTTTACATGCATCAGCGATCCACCGAGCTATGTTGACTGATGCTTTTTGCACGTTTATAACCACTCATACCAGAGTGATCAGTTGTTAGAGGCCAGACAACTCCGTCTCCAGGCCCTTCAGGTTGAGAATTAGATTGTGGTTGGCTCCTTACTCTATAAAACGGACTCTGTAGCCCAGTGCCAAAACCCCGCTGCATTGCTGTCAGGTTTTTGGACCAAAGGCTTTGGTAGCGATTCTTAATCATTCTCCTGTCTAGGCCTGGGCAACTTAACAGCATCCTGCCCGCGCAATACAACTCTATGAACTTCTCTCCACCTGATTTCTTGCTGCTCTGGTCGTTGCAGAGGATAATTAGTGGTGTCCTATCCGCTGTATCGAGCAGGATGGATAGTAGTTTGAATGCTGCTGCTCAAGCCTTCCCACCTTGCTTTTTTCATCCTTATCATCCCACTTCAACTTCACTTTTATCCCTCCTGTTTCCAACCCTCCATTCCTTGACCCACCCCCATCTTGCTTCAATGGTTGCTTGTCTTTTAGTCTCGACTCAGAGCAATAGCGGGGCGTCACTGCAGTCCAGTCGACAACTTCATGTTCAACCAAGTCAACAGTGTCAATTCATCCGTTTCTCTTTGTGGCCCCCGATCTTCGCTATGACTGGCATGCCTCAACGTGCGCATTTTGTTGTAGATTGGCTAACAGGCACCACTTGCCTGAACACTAGGGGTCCTATCCATCGATATCTGCTGTTTATTTAAAAACTTGAAAGAAGCGAGTTCCGTAATTACCCTGCGAGCCCTCACAAGCGACAGTGGCTCGGCGTTTTCATTGCGTTTTCCTGGAGATAACGCAGCTTCAAATACTGGTCAAACCAGTGTGGGCATTGGTCTGAGTCCCCACGCTGAAGCTTCCCTCGTTGAATGGATCCCAAGGAACAGCCGGATGTGCGCCGTGAGATTGGTTGGCTCGTTCAGAGTTTCGACGTTGTCCGTACACAAACAGTGCCTGTTTGTCATTGTGACCTACGCCCTTATCCGGTGAAAGATGAATTCTATCACCAGCTTAACCAGCTCCTTCGTCACACAAAATGCACGGACACTGGTGTTGGCTGGCGATCTGAACGCTCAAGTTGGAAAACTGTCCACTGATGAGCTTCATCTGGATGGTCAACACGGTATAAGCTCCCCTAATGATGGGCGCACCTGTCTGAAGATGTTCATTTTTTCTCGCGAACTCTAACTTCCGGCACGGCACTCGCAGGGGAGTGACATGGCGCCCACCCGCCTCAAACCAGCCCTGGGTGCAAATCGACCACATCGCGATCAGTTACCGCTGGATAGGCTGTTTCCCAAACTGTCGTCCAATTTGGAGCACGAGCGTGGACTCTGAGCATGCACTCGTTTGTACCGATCTTACAGTTCGCTTCGGTGGGACTAATGGCCGTCGCTAGGAGCGCATAGATTCAGGCCAGTCGGCGAAGCCAGATGTCCTGAATTTGTATCAAAGTACGCTGGCATCCAGGCTGATTAAGAGCTCTCTGTACACAGTAGAGGGCCACTGGTTGGATCTTCACCAGACGTTATTCGCAACAGGCATGTCTTCATGTGGAAAATCAAGTTGCCAAGCTGGACATTGGGTCTCTATGCATTGTCTGAAACTTGGATGCTCACCAGTTCATTCCGTTTGGAATCGAACACGCGACACACAACAACCTCAGGGTGAAACTGCGTTCTAGCCTGAAGAGAGACCACGAAGCCTGGTGGTCTAATCGGGCATCTGAGATTGAAATGGTCACTGGTCTTGGTAATCATCGGAGGTTATCCCGTTTGAAACGCGAAACGAGCAGGAGTGTTAGCAAGACCATATGTGATGAGCTTGGACGACTGATCCACAGTCGGTCAAATTACTTGGAGCATTGTGCCGAACACCTTGAAATACAGCTTAATCAACTAGTTACTAGCTTCACCTTCTGCCATTGATCGTCCTTCTCTCTAGGTCTTTCCCCTTACCCGCCTTCACCTGCAGAAGTCGAACGTCAGATCAGACTGTTAAAAGTGAATAAGTCCATAGGAGCAGGTAAAATCTCTTCACATTCGGGGGACCTGCTCTAGTAGGAAACTTTCCTGTCAGACTGGAGCCGCTCCGCCATAGTCCCAACTTTCAAAGGGGACTCACGTTCTGAATGCGACAGTCGTAGAGGGATCAGTCTGATCTCCATCGCCTTCATCCTACTCGCCCCTGTCGTTCTTCGTAGACTTGTTGACACACGTGAAAGCCAGCTCCGCGAAGAGCAAGCCGGGTTTCATCGCAGTCGCGACTGCATTGATCACATTTTCACATTGCGTCTATTGTTGAAGCACCGCCATATTTATCGGCGAACCACCGTAGTCATGTTCCTCGACATCAAAGGTGTCTTCTACTCGGTTATTCGATGTGCCTTTTGTGCCTGTCTGCTTAGTAAAGGTGTGCCAGAGAAATATGTAACTATTATCCGAACGCTTTGCTCGCATAATTCGAGCAGAGTGAGGGCTTCGGCAAACTGCCGCCGTGCCAGTGTGAGACAAGAGTGTCCCTTGTCACCTTCCATTTTTAACTTTCTCTTGACAAAGTCATGGAAATTACATTCACTGGACATGACCTGCAAGGCATGAAGCTGCTCCCAGGTGAACGACTTCTTGCTTTAGAGTACACCGACGGTATTGCCCTAATCTGTGACAGCTTTCAAATGTGCTAAGCAGCACTGAACAAATTAGCATTGATTGTAAGTTACTTCGAAGTGCAAACCCCTACTCCGAGCTTGGCGCTGACCCTTGGTAGGGATCCGCTAAAAGTCGTCGACGAATGTCACTATCTGGGCAGCTATATCAGCGCCAACGGGATTGAAGATAAAATCACAAAGTGCATGGCAACAGCTCGGGGTGCTTTTGCCAATCTCCGCTACCTGTGGTGCCGGCGCGACATAACTTTTGCCCTGAAGGATAGAATTTACAATGCAGCTGTCCGTTTAACCGTACCATACAGTTGCCAAACCTGACCCATCAAGTCGACAGACATAAAGCGGCTTATTACGTTCAATCATTGCTACCTTCGCAGCCTAGCTCATGTGTTTTGGGCAAACCGCGTGAACAACGAGCGTTTGCGGCGTCGTTTGTTTGGTGCAGGAAGAGCGAGTGAACCGCTCAGCACCGTTACATCATGCACAAGGCTCCGATGGCTGGACGACGTGTTACGCATACCAGCCCACCGATTCTTGCGTTTTGCGTTATTTTTACGCGCCGGAGGTGTGGATGGAAGAAGAGGGGTTACCAAGCGATTACTTGGTCAAAAGTAATAATGGCCCTCACATCGAACTTGGCGACGGTTGGTGTCTTCTGACGGCCTGGCTGGGGTCCGAAGGACACTAGTTGACAAGCTAAAGTTTCTTTGTCCCTCCCCATCCCGCTTATTTTTCCTCTCCAACCATGATCTCTCTCTTGACGCATACAGTGTTGTCACTAGTGCATTGCCTGCTTTCTGCATTCTATACTTTACAATGTCTTGCTTTTACGTGCGTTTTATCTTTATGCATTACGGCACAACAGTTACAGAGTGTTTCTCACCTTCAGCTGATGTGTAATGATGATGATCAGGTAGTAATCAAGGAGGTTGTAATTTTTGCATCAT